TGATGATGATGATGATGATGATGATGATGATGATGATGATGATGATGGATGATGAATGATGATGATGATGATGATGACGATGATGCTGATGAATGGAGCATGATGAAATATGAACGATGGTTGATGAATGATGAATGATGATGAATGATGAATGATGGCTGATGGCTGATGATGATGATGACGACGACGACGACGATGATGAGAATGAATTATGCACGATGAATGATTAATGATGAAAGATGAATGATAATGTCTATTTGCTCTACGACTCCAGAACTTCCGCACCGCTTGTACGTTCTTCTCCGGCTCCGTCCGAGGCACATGTCGAGGGTGGCCTCTCGAAAGGCGTCGACCAAACTGGGCTTGACAGGTCGGTCCAAATGCCGAAAGGCCATCTGTTCCACTTCGATCCTGGAGAAAACGGAAAGCGGCATGGATATGTCCATCCGGATGGAGGGGGAAAGTTTGAAAGTGAGGCTTTTGGGTGACGGGAAGCCTGCGAAAGATAGAGGATAGACTAGGCGACTGCCAGGTACCAATCACAAGGCTGAGTTAGCTCTTCTCGGGCGTCGGGGGCCGTTTTGGTTCATGAACTGTACAGCCTACTATTTCACCTGCTAAACTGACTCGGACCCCAAAGTTGATGGAAGAAGGTCATCATCGGTGGGGCTGGGAAGAAACCTCAGGCGGTTTCGCACCAAAAGTGAGAAAGATTCTGGAGAGCGACTCCTTTTCAGGGCTTGGTTCCGAAGGTCCAAAGTCTCTACATAGACTAAACATTCCCTTGGCGATAGCAATCCGACAAGGCGCTTTAGGGCAGAAGGGTTGCCAAGACTTGCGATGACCTGGGTAGTGCTCCCACGCAAGGACGGCAACGAGCAAAGGATGAAAAAGAATATGTGACAACTTCTTGGTAAAGGACTTACAATCCTGTTCCTTTGGTCCTTTGGAGGTGGAACGTCTTCCATAACCGGAATAGAACATCCCTGATACAGGTGATACGGGTTGACCCTCAAAATTCCAGCTTCGATACTGGAAATCGCCGATCCAAATCCGGACATTTGCTCACAAAGCACCCGGGGCGATCACCTGAACGAGTGATCCTCAGTCTCCGCCTGAGATCTAAATTACGAGGCTTGGGTAAAGTCCAAGGTCCGTTTGCAAAGCAAAACATCCATGAAAGTGAGACAAATCCATGCCCCTTGGATCCTGTGCCTGCGATCTCATGGATCCATGTGAGCAAACTTGGTGCTGGTGCTGTTAAAGGCCCGGACAGTGGCAA